CTTCTCTCTCTCTCCCCTCCCCCCACTCACTCTCAATAAATAGATAGATATGATTGAGATTCTCATTCATTAAAAAAAGAGAAAGAGAAACAGAATCAAAGCAACAATATGTGAATATAAAAATCAGTCAATTAGAAATTTGAAAATGACACTGAAAACTATAGAAAGCTTATGAAAGAAATGAAGAAGACACAAAGAAATGGAAAAACATTCCATGCTCATGGATTGGAAGAGGAAATACTGTTAAAATGTCGATACTACCCAAAGCAATCTACATATTCAACGCAATCCCTATCAAAATAACACCAGCATTCTTCACAGAGCAAGAACAAACAATTCTAAAATTTGTATGGAACCAGAAAAGACTTTGAATAGCCAAAGTAATGTTGAAAAAGAAAACCAAAGCTGGAGGCATTACAACTCGAGACTTTGAGCTAGATTACAAAGCTATAATCATCAAGACAGTATGGCAGTGGCACAAGAACAGACACTCTAATCAACGGAACAGAATAGAGAACCCAGAAGTGGACCCACAAACGTATGGCCAACTAATCTTTGACAAAGCAAGAAAGAATATCCAATGGAAAAAAATCTCTTCAGCAAATGGTGTTGGCAAGACTGGACGGTGACATGCAGAAGAATGAACCTGGACCACTTTCTTACACCACACACAAAAAACAAACTCAAAATGGATGAAAAACACTAATTAAAATCTTTCTACAAAATACTCATTAGGAAGGTAAACAAACTGGAATCAAAGAATTAGTGAATTGAAAAAGAATCTTGATCAATTCACCCAGAAGTGAAAAGCTCAATTCACCTAGAAATATCACAGAAACTTTGTTTTTAATACTAAAGAGGAAATTGGAGAAAAGAAAGATAGGTTGAGAGGCTCTAACATACATCTAATGGAAGCGAAAGAAGAGAAAGGAGAGAACTGGAGAGAAGCCATATTGGAGAAAAAACTGCAAGTTGTTTTCTAGAACTGAAGAAAGGCACAAGTCTTCAGGTCAAAAGCGTATTAAAAGTACCACTTGAGATACAAAGATACAATTGTCTACTAACATACATTTTAGTGGAACTGCATAAAATCCAAAGTCAAAACAAAAATATTTTTAAATGGCCAGAAGAAAAAAAAACATTTTATATACATGATAAGAATATCCAATACTTCATTGTTTGTAAAAGGGGAAAATGGAAAAATGAGTGTCCATGAAAAGGAGAATAAATTTTTTTTAAACTGTAATATATTTGCAGTATTTTTGCAGTATATGGAATGCTACATATATAAACACAAATGAAATAATGTTAAGGGGAAAAGCACATTAATACATAATATCTATGGAGGACATTATCTTTTTTTAATTTTTTTTAATGTTTATTTATTATTGAGAGACAGAGCATGAGCATGGGAGGGGCAGAGAGAGGGGGAGACACAGAATCTGAAACAGGCTCCGGGCTCCGAGCTGTCAGCACAGAGCCCGACGCAGGGCTTGAACTTATGAACCGTGAGATCATGACCTGAGCCGAAGTTGGACACTTAA